CACTGGGTGGCATCTTTTCAATTGCTCTATCTTTCAAGTCTTTCTGATTAGGCGCTAATTATTAAAGTTTTTTTTTTAATTTACAAAAAGTAAATTTACAAAAACTTTGGAGATTTTATTAGCTACCTAGGTTCATGTCATGAAGTCACGTTAACTCTGAGTTGCTTTTGGCTTTTTAAAACTGAAAGTGAACCGGAGAGTTGGCCCAAGGGTTAAGAGCACTGGCTGCTCTTGCAGAGGACCCAGAGTTGATTCTCAGCACACATGGTAGATCACAGTCCACTCTAACTGCAGCTCCTGGGGTCCAAGCCCTCTTCTGGCCTCCTTGGGCACTGCATACAGGTGGCACACAGACATGTATGCAGGCAAGACATCATATAAATAAAAAAATAGGAAAAAGTGGAAAGATCTGCACAGTTCCTATTTTTTTCATTTAACAATTTTTCTTTTATGCCTTCACCCTTATCTTTTGCTGAATTATCTTTTTTTCTCAATGAATATATATGTATTTGGTATGCATATGTGTGTATGTGTCTGTCTTTATGTGAGCATGTTTGCATCTGTGAGGACAGGCTCATGGGTGCCAGACCACAAATACAGAGGTCAGAGAACAAACTCAGGTACTGATCCTCACACTCTACTTTGAGACAGCAGATCTTGAGGGATCTGATCGTCTCTGTCTCTCCTCCTACCTCACAGGTGCTGGGATTACAAGTATTCACCACAGTGCCTTACTTTCTTTATACATGGCGCCGGGTATCCAAATGTAGATCCTCCGGCTTATGAGGCAAGTGCTTTAAGGACTGAGCCATTTCCCCAGCCCTCTCCTTCCCAATTTTTAAGAACAAAAGAAAGAAACATTCAGCTAGACTCTCCAGTCTATAAACAGCTGTATCTTCAAGGCTTATATGGAGGGAGGGAAAGGAGGGAGGGAGGGAGGGAGAGAGATGCGTGTGGTGTGCAAGCTGCATTTATGTGTTGTGGAGTGGTTGCACTGAGGGGTGTGTATGTGGGCCACGTTTGTGCGTGTGCTTGTGCGTGGTACTTTGAACTCTACCACTGAGGTATACCTCCAGTCCTCTTCAGACTCTTTCTCTTGATCCTTCTCAGTTTCTGAGATTCTAAACTCTCCCTCTTCATCTCTAAGAAGACTCTCTTCTTTTTCATTTGCCCTCTCTATGGTTCTAGTTTAGAACAATGGCCTCCTCGCCAACTCCCCACCCCCAACCCATCAGCAACCCAGCATGATCAACAGCACCCCACTGCCCTCTGTGGTTCTAGCCCCTCAGACCTGTTCCTCACAGATGGTCCAGCCCCTCCTTCCTCGCCATTGCCTGTAACCAAGGAGCTAATCCACAGAGCTGCTGTTCGCTGGTTCTTCCGTTCTGCGGATACTGGGATGGTTAATAGGTTGGACTTTGCAGAACCTTGCTGTTGAGTGGGGAGCCGCTCCAGGGATAGGTTGGACCGCAAAGCTGAACTTTTGGCTAGCTCCTGAGGCCTTTGGTATTTGAGTGTAGTCCTAGTGATGGAAGCTTCTTGAAGGTTATCTGGCCTCTGTCTCTGGATATTTCATCTCTCTCTTCCCTTCCCTCCGGCTGTATGATCCACAGGCTCTTGTGTTTAGACACTGGGTCCTCAGCTGGTACTGCTGCTTTGGAGGCTGGGGATCCTTCAGGACATGGTGCCTCACTGGAGGAAGTGAGTAACTGGAGGTGGTCCTTGTGGTCTATAGCCTGGCCCTGCTTCCTGTCTGGTCTCTGCTTCCTTATCTACCCATATGTGAACCAGCGGTTTCATATTCCAGTCAGCAGCCACTCCTACCACCATGATGAACGATACCCACCCACAACTGTGAGCTAAAACAAACCATTTCCCCATAAGAACTTCTTGTCAGGCATTCGGTCACAACGATGAGACAATGTATCTCCCTCACGCTGGGCCCTTCCTTAGAAGCTATCCATCTGTAGCCTTGATGGTATCCATGAAAAGTTCAGGACCAAGCCCCACTGTTACCTTGTTTCTGCCTCCATCCCTCGGCCTTAGCTATCTTCAACCACATCTATGACTTTCAGCCACGGCCCTGAGTCACACTGCGTCCCCTGCTGAATTGAGGTCCCTATTCATCTCTGACAGCAGCGCGTGGCTTATCCACACATTACCACCCGCTAGACGGATCTCTCTTTGAGGCTCTATCTCTGGGTGCTTTTCTTTGCCCTTATTTTTATGTAAAGTCCAAAGTAAAATAACATTTTCAATCAAAGAAGATATAAATCTCATGGCTCATTTTGCTGAGACCAAAATGCGAAACCGTGGACTGAGTCCAAGGAGGGAAAACAAAAAAAAAAAAAAAGCCACTGCCTCTGCCCCAGCTTCTGCTGGCTTCCCCATCCCGTCCTCTCTCCGCCGCTCTTTTATGCTCACCAGGTCTCCCTCACTCAAGTGTGGCAAATTAGGTAATTAGTGACAGAGCAACAATTCTGCTGAGAAAATGGTTATGTGTTTATGGAAGTTCAATGGTGCAAAATGTCTAAGGAAAGCCATTTGCTAAGCTCGAGAAAGACGGGGGACTGGGTCCCGAGCCAGCTCTCAGCAGAACCCAGGCAGTGCAGTGCCAGCCGTCAACAAAACCATTTGGAGGCACTGTCCAGGGGCCAGGTGCCCATTTTGGCTGGACCTCGGAGCCCATCTCTCTTTCTCCTCACTGTTGACTCAGAGCGAAATAATAGCCGCAGCTGAGTTCCAAGGAAATGGTCCTCATGTGCCGTTAGCCAGGCTTCCCGGTGACCTTTGCTAAAGTTACAGCCTTCACATCTTCCCCGTTTTCTCCAAGCCATTCAAGTCATTAGACGACTTCGGGCCGAATTATTATTCTCTAAGCGTCCTCTTGGATGGCCGGGGTTTAGATTATGCCTTCTCCTTCAATTATTTGATCACCCGACGTGAGTGTTGTTTCAGAACCTGTTGACCGGCTTGCTCTAGTGAGATGGTATTGTTTTCCTGGGCCTGCCCAGACTGTCAGGCAGGTGCTTCCAAATTCCAGTTCCATTTCAGGAGGATACTTCACCCAGGGATGCCCTCTTTGGTTAGTGTGTGTTCTAGTCATGGGAAGTGCAGAAACACTTAGACCAGGCGTTTGGCTCCTGTTCTAGTTAGCATTAACAATCGATTTGACACAACACAGAGTCACCTGAAATAATTTTTTAAAAAGTCATTGAATAAACTGTCTTTATTGGGGGTCTGCAGACATTTCCATGAGGTCCGTCTAAATGAAGGCAGGTGGGCCCAGCCCACGGCAGTGCCATTCGTAGACAGGTGGTCCTGAGCTGTATGAGAAAACTGGCTAAGCAAGCATGAGCCTTCGAAGAAGCCAAAGAGTGAGCTAGCAAGCAAGGGTCTTGGGCGGGTTGCACTTCAAGCTCCTGCCACGGCCTCCTCAGTGATGGACTGTGAGCTGGAGGTATAATCCAAGTGAAAGCTTCCTACCCCAGCGTTGCTTTTGCTCAGGGTGGTTGTATCACACAGGAAGGAAACTAGGAGAGGTGCATAGTTATTCTTCCAGTTCTATGACTGTGACATTGACGAGGCCCCAGGGACATACCAGAGGTCAGCACTACACCCTTCTTCCAGGAGCTACACCCGGCCGGGGGTACAGCAGAGTTTCCTCCAAGGTCATCCCTGTCTACTTTCCCCAGGGTATCACTGGGCCATCTCACTTGGCTTGCCGTGACCGCCTCCGTCCAGGATGACGAGATGGCAGAAGCATGGGGCAATCTGGAACGATTCCCCTTCCAGAACAGAGAGAATGAAGTTAGCGCAAGGAGCTGGGGGCAGGCAAGAAGATTCCAGATGAGAAGACAGCAGAGAGACGCTTCTTCACTATCCTGGAGCTACATGAGCGTCTCGGTCGAGGACCCCATCTGTTTTGTTAAATTGACAATTTCCTTCAGCAGGAAATCAAGGCTCATACCGAGTCTCAGACTAACTACTGAGTAAGAAATAGCTTCACTTTCTAAAGACTCTGCTTTTTAAGATGTTCAGCATGTAACCTAATTTCGTTTGATGGAGTTTGTTTTGCTTTCTCCATTTGCTACCTAGACATGTGTTTCATTATTTTCCACAGAATTGGGCTTGGGAGGGAGAGCCAGGGAGCCAGAGTTCCCTGAGCCTCAAAAGTACTTCCCAAAGAAGAAGAAATAATATTAAATAAAATTAAAATAAATTACAAGATCAACTGTCCCAATGAGTTTTCTGACATCCTCCAATAGCAGAGCACACACATGCACACACATACACATGCATGCACACACATACACACACTTAAAAGGGTAATATTTGACCAAACCTAGACAGGGAAGATTACTTATTAGGAGGAATTTTCTTTTTAAATTTTATTTATTTGATATTTTGGTATATTTATTTGTATATTTTGATTACATTTACTTGTGAGTGTGCACACGCATGTGTGCACGAGCATGCATGCCCGAGAGCATGTGCATGCCTCAGAGTGCATATGTGTAGCTCAGAGTACAACTCGTGGGAGTCGGTCTTTTCCTTCCTTTGTGTCCAACTTATGTAGTTAAGCTTGGTGACAGTGCCTTTCCCCACTGAGCCATCTTACCAGCCCAGGAGTGTTTTTCATTGGAGGAAAAAGTTCTTTCTGCTGGGGTCCTGTTAGGATGGATCCTATCAACACCCCGTTTTCGACTTTTCAAGTGCGAGCCTTCTAAAAAGTATTCTAACGTGAAGACAGGAGTTTATCTTTCAAAAGTAATTATAGCATAATGTGAGTTCTTAGAATCAGAAGCGTGACTTCGGAACGGTTCTTGGAATAGTGATACGAGGGGAACAAACTGGCGCACACCGGGAGAGGTGTCAACTGTTTAATTGAAGGAGAGTAATGCAGGGCCTACCAGGAAGGAAAGACACACTGTCTGAGTCTCTCAACGGCTGGGCTTCTATGTGGCCTCTTCTGCTGCCCACGGCAGGAAGAAATGAACTTACTTGATGTCACACAGGAGGGCCACCCCCCTCAGGATCCAGTGATCCGGGGACAGCACTGTGCGCAGGTACACCACGGTGATGAAGGTGAGATCGGTGCGCCGGGGTTTCTTGTAGATCGGACACACGTACAGTTTCGGGTCCTTAGGGGCCGTGGAGTTAATGGCAAAGATGTGCAGGACAGGAATTTGCATGAAGAGAACCTTTGGGGTGGATTCTGTGAGCTTCCCGTTCCTCCTGTCCCAGGATGCTCCATCCATATACAGCCCATAAATATACACACCTTCCTGAAAGAGCAAGGGGCAGAGAAGGGGACGTGCTGAAAGGTGGACGTCCATAATGTAATCAGGGCTGGCAGTTCAGTAAGAAAGCACACGCTGGTCTTAAAACACTAACAGACAAGAAAACACCCCTGGGGAAATAGCATTATTGAAACTAGGTCACGCTTTCTCCTGGGGCACACAGTGAGTCTAGTTGCGTGGTGGAAATGCCCTGTTATGAGCTTTTGGAATGCGGGGTGGCCAACCCAGGTAACAAGAGGGCCAAATCGCCTCTGCAGGTAGCTCAAGTCCAGTTTGAGTTGGTGCAAGCTGGGAACATATACTGTGACTTAGAACTGTTGCCAATGGGACTTACGGCTGAAGCGACGGAGCCAACCCTGGACTGTACCCCATCTCCTCCGCAAGATAAAACGAGTTGATAATGCCCCAGAGGCTTAGAGCAGTACAGCAAAGTGGACATGAGATTGGATGGGGAGCTGGCGGCCCCAGAGTAGAACCAGCTCTCCTCCCCACATACTTGCCTACAAATGGACTTGCTTTCCTGGGCCTCACTTTTAAATCAGGGAAGCCAAGACCCCTGAGCACAGGTGACAGTTTGTAATTTGATAATGGAAGTGCGTGGGGATGGGATAGGAGCAGTGACTTTGGATTGAAGGTCATGTAGGCTTTTGCCACCAGAGCAGACTGCAGAGGGGACGGTCTTGAAGGGATCCCCGAAGGGCTGGGGCAGCATATGGGAATGGGGAGGAGGCCGACGCAACTCCACTAAGACAGGCAGGATGGGCAGAGAAGATACTTTACTTCTAGGGCAAGGGTTCAAAGGTACTAAAATGGCTTATCACTTGACCACGGAAGACGAATCTGCAGAGCTGAAGTGTCTGAACTCTATCTTGCGGGCACGGGGGAGCCACAGAACATGTATTCATTAAAACAAGAAAGGGCCGGAGAGAATCATGCAAGCTCATAAAGTATATTTATGTAGAGGATGGTGACCGTTTTTCTATTTCTAATGAAGATGGGGCCTGGGGAAGTTAATGTAGATCACGGTAAAGGACGGAGAGATTAGCGGCAAAGGGTTCCTGGGGCTCTCTCATTGGACTAATTGCATGAGGACCATATATTTTGAACCGCAAACTGAAGCACATAGCTTGACAGTGAGACCCTGGGCAGAGCCAGAGAATGAGGAGACAGGAGTTCCCATCATTAACTTCGTGGTTGGCAATTAATTACACGAACAAGATGACCACTAGGAACTACCCTACAGCCAACTGTGTCCTTGCCTATGGCCCTTGCAATTTAGGGACCCTAAGAGTTGCAGTGAGAAGATGTGACAGGTAGAATGTGTCACCCCAAATTTATGTCAACCCAGTACCTCAGACATATTGTTTGGTTTTGATATAAAGCATTCAGATATGAACACAGTGGGTCTAGGAAGGTCCTAGATCCAATATGGCAGGCGGGCACATATGTGAGTGTGTGTGTGTGTGTGTGTGTGTGTGTGTGTGTGTGTGTAGGTGTAGGTTACACAGAGAGGCACCTAGAGAATCAGGCTTTTGACAGTGGTGGTAGACACTGGAATGAGACAGCTGAAAGAACAGCCAGTCTGCCAAGGACTTCCAGTAGGCATCAGCCGCCAGGAGAGAGTCATGAAGTAAGACTGTCTCTCACGGCTTCCTTCCGGAAGAAACCGACCAATCACCGATTTAGTTTGTTTTGTTTTGAGACAGGGTCTCATGCAGCCCAGGCTGGCCTTAAACTCCTGATCCTCCTGCTTCTGTCCCCTGAGTGTGGGGATTATAGGTGGATGTCATAACATCCAGCTTATGTGCTGCTGGGAATCCAGCCAGGGCTCCGAGCTTGCTAAGCCAGCACTTTCCCAACCGAGCTACAGTGGGGTTTGGACTTCCTAACTCCTTAACTGTGAGGGGAAGACATTCTAATATTTGAGTAAGCCAGTCTGCGGTATTTAAAATAACAAATACGGATTGGGGTACCAGGAAGCTAGGCGGTACCTCAAACACTTGCACACAGGGAGGTGACACGGGGGTGGGGCAATGGTAGGCAGAAGATGCTAGAACTTCGGAGTATATCATAGAGAGGCCCTAAATTACCTCACAGAGCAGCTGATAGAAATAGACAGGGCAGGGATATGGAGGGATGAAAACTTGGGGAGGCATAAAGAACCTTCCAAAGACTGGAAGGAAGTTCTCCCGCTACAAAGAGGCAGGGAATTTGGCCCAGAGCTAGGAAACCCATCTGTTCTAGTCCCCTTGGTATTGAGAGAATCAGAGGAAAAGAGGGACTAAGATTTATTGTGTTGTGTCAGATGATCTGCCACCAGGCTTACATGATGGCATTCACAGCCTCGTGACTTCCTGCAGAAAGGTTGAACCGGCAAAGAGCAAAATCATTAAAGAATTGGCCCAGCATGTGTGTCAAAGCAGAGGCGCAGAGGGCCGACTCTCTCCACAGCAGGGCAAGTGCTCTGCACCCAGAGTCCCCAAGCACGCCGAGGGAAAAGACGGGATAGGAACTGAGCTCCCAAAGTTAGTCCAGCGGACTTCCATGGCCCTTGGCTGCTACAGGGTACCCTGTGAGCCCAGCACAGGAGCGGAAGACACGTGGAACTCTGTCTAAGCAAACACGTACATAACTTGCATTTATAAAGAAAGGTCACCCCGGGGGAGTTGCTGGGCTCACTAGCCCTTGTCATAAACCTCCCACTCAGCAGACGGGGGGAGGCACTGGCCTTGAGGTTGGCTGGTTACAACAGAGAAAAACCTCCATGGAAAGCAGGCGGGCTTCACTGGAGAAGCCAAGGTCAGTTTTCAATGTGCTGTTTGTTTTTGTGGTCCTGAGGCCTGAACTCAGGGCCTTGCGCACTGGGCAGTTGTTTGACCGTCTGCTGCACTGCATCCCCAGCCCACAGCAGCCATTTCGCCCTCAGCTTGAATCTCTACCCTGAGCTCCCCACAGCACCTACCACAGGGGGTGAGGTGATCTCCTCTTTGGTCTGCCGCAGGACTTCGTTGTGGATGGTCACAGTGTCCAGTGCCCAGCCTTTGTGAGCTCGGGTCACTTCTTGCCTCATTGCTGTGAGGAAGCCTTGAGAAAGCCAGACACAGAGAGAAGACTCTTGGTGAAGCTCACTTCAGAAACAAAGAGGAAGCGACACGGAGGGTGGCTTGATAGTCTCTAAACTGCCCGTCCATCCTGGGAGGAGCGGAGAGCAGGACCACAGAGCCAGGGACATTTCTCCTAGGGGGTTGTTTCCAGGGAGACAGTGAAGAGAGAGGGACGCTGGTTTGGACGCCTTCTAGAATTGCAAGTCTTAAAAGGGTTCCAACCCAGTCCCAGCTCATGGTCTCTACTGGAAAACACAATATTCAATGTGTGACCGGAATGGTAAAGTATTCTGAGAAACAGCCTTCCAATTAAACCCGAATCAAACCATTATGAAGCTTCTATTTGCCATAATGGGACAATTTCATTTAGTCTAAGGAAATAAGACATAAACACCATAATAGGAACCTGACTTTCAATTTGATCAAACAGAGCAATCACACCGGAAAGGGAAAGCTACATCTTTTAATGTGCATAATACAGTTATTTTAAGATAATGCGTGGCTCCGTATCTTGTGGCCTTTCTCTAAACTTAGTATTCTGAAATCATGCCAATCAATTCAATAAGAGAAGTCTTTTTCTGGAGAGTGGCATTTGATGTTAGCAAAAAAAAAAAAAAAAAAAAAAAATAGATCCCAAATTTTAAAGCTGGCCAGAAAACCAGCTGCCTGTGATATACCGCTCACATCTAGGTTCTCGTGCAAACGGTAGACAAACCGTAAGGCTGTTAAAATATGGAACATATACACCCCCAGTGCTCTTTTTTTTTTGGATTTTTTGAGACAGGGTTTCTCCGTAGCTTTTTTTGGTTCCTATCCTGGAACTAGCTCTTGTAGACCAGGCTGGCCTCGAACTCACAGAGATCCGCCTGCCTCTGACTCCCGAGTGCTGGGATTAAAGGCGTGCGCCACCACCGCCCGGCCCCAGTGCTCTTTTTAAAATTGCTTATTTTTTGGTAATCTTATGCATGGATGCATCGTGTTTAGGCCATTTCCATCCCCGTCTCCCATCCCTGGCACTCTTGAGTGGTCCCTGAGAACCACAGAGGGGAAGTTGCAAGGGGTTAAGCTGGGAATGGAAGGAAAGACCGGCACCCAGTCCGGCTGTGCTGAGGGATTGCAGTTCATGGAGAGGAAACCATTCTTTCATTTGTCAGCCCTAAGAGCAGCCACAGTGTACCAGGCACAGTTCAAGGTGACTCAAAGTGGAAGAGACCGCCCATGGGCCTGCATTCAAGTCTAAGGTAGCCTGTCTCTAGAGCAGTGAATCCCAACCTTCCTAATGCTGCAACCCTTTCAGACAGTTCCTCATGCTGTGGTGACCACGACCATAAAATTATTTTCATTGCTACTTCATAACTGTAGCAAACTACAGCTATGCGAATATCTGTTTTTGATGGTCTTAGATGACCCCTGTGAAAGTGCCCTTTGACCCAAAGGGGTCGCAACCTATGGGTTGAGAACCACTGTGTTAGAGGGAGGCAGAACATTAGCGTGACACAGGCCATGGCGTGGGAAACGTCGAGGGAGTCCTGGCTGCAAAGCCGAAGTTCACTGCAACTCCCCTCCCAGTATTTGTTTTTGCTGTTTTTAATTATGGGTACGCGCATCGTGGGGGTGGGGTGGGGAGGTAAGGCAAGAGATGCCAGATTACACTGGAGCAGGACTACAGACAGGTGCAAGCCGCCCAGCATGGGTGCTGGAAACCAAACACACTCTCAAGGCTGAGCCGTCATTTCTCCAGCCCTTGGCCACAAGCCTGTGAAGATGCGTGAGAACCTGCAAGACAGGACAAGACCAGCTCGAGCAGCCGCACTTGTGAAGACTCGGAGGAGGAGGAATCTCCAGGCTACGGAGGGGTCGACAGTTCCAGATAAAGACAGTACAAACAAAGCTAGCAGCACAGTTTCTCAGGTCGAAGTTCCTACTGCTTCTTCTAAAATGCATTTTATTATATTTATTTATGTTCATGTGTGCATGTGTTTGTGCATACACGTGCCCTGGCATCCGTATGGAAGTCAGAGAGCAAGTCGCAGGAAGCAGTTCTCTCTTTCCACCATGTAGGGCCCAGAAGCTAATGCAGGTTGTCAAGCTTGGTGCCAAAAGACTTTACCCACGAGCCATTTCACGGGCCGCCCAGTGCATCTTGGGAGGTGGCCAATGGCTTGTCTGCCTTTGCATCTATCTAAGAAAGCTCATTCAAAGCACTATTAGGACAGGATCTGGGGCACTAAGGGAACCTTCTGTGTATTTCTGAGAGTCAAGCCCCTCCATCAACCAGAGCAGAAAGGACTGACCTTACAGAATGAGGTTAGTCATCAGAAAATACAAGGGAACTTCACTGGCAGCAGCGGCTGACTGCTTCCTGGAGTCCCAGAAGATGGATCACCAAGCCATCACATTCACTTTCGTGGTTTGTTTTCTGAGATTTATTTATTTTTATTTTGTGTGTATGGGTTTTTGCGTCTATACCTAAGTCTGTGCATGCAGTGCCCATGGAAGCCAGAAGAGGACATCAAATCCCTTAAAACTAGTGTTGTAGATAGTGGTGAGCTTCCATGTGGGTGCTGGGAATCGAACCCAAGCCCTCTGGAAGTGCAGTCAGTGAGCCGTCCACCTCCCCAGCTCCTCACTTTCATTGTGAACTCTGGGGAAATCCCACACATCAGGAACACATTCCATGTGTTTGTCCGTCAGTGGTATGTAACTCCAGTCACCTTCTGTCAATCACCCTCCTACCGAGTCCACTAAAATGTCATTTTTGGATTGATTTATTTGTATGAGTGTTTTGCCTACATGTACCTATGTGTACCATTTGTATGCCCTGGGACCCATAGAGGCCACCAGACTACTGCATCAGGTTCCCTGGAACTGTAGTTACAGATGGTTGTGAGCCACCATCTACTTGGTGAGGACTGAACTCAAGTCCTCTGCAAGAGCAGTCAGTGCTTTTAACTGCTGAGCCATCTCTCCCGCCGAAAATGTCATTTTCATAATTCAACACACAGTGTTCACCCATGTGTCTATAAGACACTGCATATCCAACTCGAGTGTCTAGAGGTAAACTGACCTTAGCTTATGATATTTTAAATTTCACCCCTGATATTATGAAGCTGCAAGGTCATAATGTCCAAGTCACTAATCCTAGTCTTAACCTTTCTCTGCACCAGTGGAGTAATTGATATTTTTTTCTATAACATCTTAAGTCACGACTAAACTGTAAATTGACCTCATCCCATATGGCTCTCAGGACCATGCCTGGGTGTCTAAGAGAAGGGAAGCTGGTTTCTTTCTTTCTTTCTTTCTTTTTTTTTTATTCTTTAATATCTTTTCTCTGCTTCTGAGATCTTAGTCATTATCAGAGAGTTCTGCAGAACCCGAGTGCAGTTAAGGAGACTCTATTTCCTGTCTGCTCCTACTGGGGAGCATGCATTACATTGTCCAGACTCCAACAGTAAGCATCCTGGTGCTTTAGAGGCATTCTTGGCACGCCAGCAGGTGGGATCCAGTATGCTCGTCAGTCCAGAAACCAAGAAAGGTAGTGGTGAGCAAACGCATTTGGAACCTATCTCAAGGGCAGGGAATGGTTTTTGAGCTGTTCCCACTCAGAGAACACGGAAGAGTAAGGAAACATGCATGTCCAAACCTATCTATGCTGCATCTAGCCACCCCTTTTATCTGAGATGGAGTCTCGTTATCTAGCTACCTTTAGATAGCATCTGTAGCCAAGAGTGACCTTCCTTGAGCTCCTCACCCTTTGCCTCCTCCTCAAAAACCACTCCTTTTCTGTAGCATTGGGAATCCAACCCAGGACGCTGTGTGTGTCAAGCAAGTGCTCCAGCCTCTGAGCTACAGGCCCAGCCGCTCGTCCAGGCTTCATCGTTCCCCACTGACTTCCTACGAAGGACACGATCTTGTCACATTCAAACGTATTGAACCTTCTGAAACATTAATTGTTGGGTTTTAAGAAACGAATGTCTGTCTCTCTTGGAGACTGATGCCAAAGCTAATGAAACTACAATCTTCTCCTTCTGCGGCTTGCCAAAGTTTTTAAAGGACAATTGGTAGAGTTTTTCTTCACAAAAGCTTGGAAATCAGACACTTTTTGTTTTGGCATGAGTTTAGTTATAATCACCCGGAAAGTGACTCAAATGTTCCCATTTTTCAAAGAAGAAACGAAAAGTCAGTCGAAGTGAGACCTCGACAGCAATAACCACCTATTCTTCATGAGATTTAACCGCCCACACGAAAAAAGCGGGTGACTTTGACTAAACACTGGCGTTCCATGTGGTCTAGAGGAGGCGCTGAAACAAATCTCCCCTTCGAGTTCATAAAGCATAATGAACTCTTATAACACTCGTCAAGTTCATTATTTAAAAAAAAAAACTCAGTATTAATGTAGGATCACACTGTGGAAAGGCAGGCCTGAAGCAGTACTTTTTTATGTGTTAATTCCCGTAGTGGGAGTCAGTTAATACCCAAGTGGGTAGATTTCTGCCACCTGACTTGTGCTCTCCGCTGGCTCAAAGAGAGCCACGGAGTGTTTGGTGGTCTTCCCTACAAGCTCTCAGAAAAGATGGAAGAAACAGCCCATCAGGAAAGCCATGCCCCTCGGCTTTACTAAGAGTTGGCTGGTATTCTGTAATGATGGTGGCAGGTGGGCGTGTGTGACCACATGTCCACGTGCCTGGAGGCCAGAGTTCAACATCAGCTCTCTCTTCCTCAATTGATCTCCACCTCATTTGCTTGTTTTTTTTTTTTTTTTGTTTTTTTTGTTTTTGAGGCAGGGTCTCTCACTGAACACAGAACTGACCAATTCAGAATAGCTGGTCAGTGAGTGCAGGGGCTACAGATGGTTGCACCATTCCTGGCTTTTCTATAGGTGCTGGCATCCAAGTTCAGTCCTCTGCCCCACTAAACCGTCTCTCCAGGCTCCCAGGCAGCACTTTTTTCTTCAGTAAATGAACCGGTCCTTCTGTAATG